TCGTTTGGGATGAGGCCTTTTTAGCTAATTAGTCAAAAAGTTACTAAATTAGCCAATTAGTCATACCAAAAAGTCAACAATTACGGCTTCTCTCTACTTTTTGCACAGCTTTTCGTAATTAGTCAAAAAGTCATCCCAAACATACAAGTTTTTTTTACCTACCTTTTTAGCCAATTAGCCAAAAAATTACTAAATTAACATGTTCCCAAACGAGGCCTCATATTCTTTTAGGGTGATTCTACGTAGGGGTGGGCGCGGGTCGGTTGCGGCCACGGAACCTCCAATCCGCCATCCATCTGCCAGATTGGCGGATTGAAGAAAATCAATCCGCATCCGTCCGCCAATCCGGCGGATGTGGATTGAGTGGATTGGCGGTTTGGCGGATGGATGCGAATCGGTTTGGCGGTTTAAAATTTTATAAATTTTCAACATAATTCAACTTGTGCACTTTCTCAAAAAAGAAAAAAAAAAGTATTACAGTCAATGACTTAAAAAAGTATTACAATCACTGTATGCCTTATCCAAAGAAAGAAAGTTTGAAACATTAGAATATCACGATCACTGCATGTCTCATCCACATATTACAATCACAGCATGATTCATCCCCATAAAGTATTACAATCTGTGATTCTTAAAATATAATGACAATTCAAACCACCAAAATCATGAACAGAGCAGTAGTAGAGATTGTATGTCTCTGTATTGTTGCATCTACATATGTTTTTGAAATCAAAAACCAACCAACATATATCATATTTTCTATTTATTATTTTTAGAGCTAAATTTGAAAACTAAAAAAAATAGATGAATAATACGTTTATTTTTTTCAATAAAAAAAATATATTCAAGTTGAAAACTTTTTTTCAACAGAATATTTAAACTTTTTTTCAATTGAAAACATAAACATAATATTTAAACAAATTGAAAATACAAAGTCCTATAAATTATTAGAGGTGCTCGCGATTTGGCGGTTTGGCGGTTCGGTTGTGGCCAAAGAAATCTCAAATCCGCTATCCGTCCACCAAATTGGCGGATTGGAGAAAATTAATCCGCAACCGTCCGCTCGTCATCACGCATCCGTCCAAAATGCGGCGAATCGGTTCGGTTCGGTTCGGTTCGGTCGGTTTTGGCAGATCGGTATATCCGTTACTCACCCCTAATTCTACTTATACTACTATTTTACCTTTTTACACCTGAGTTTTTTTTCCCCAATTTTATCTATGTATGAAATTACTTTTAAGGACAAAATATTAAAATTAAATATATTTTGTTATCTCTTTACACTCCTTGATCTTCAAGCCCTATTCCTCTTTTTCATTTCTTAATTTTTCTTTTCTCTTACGCATCTCTTTTCAAAAGTGAGAATCATAATATTTTGATCATTAAATAGAGCAATGGATAAAAAAACGATGGTGAAGAACTATCAAAAAAGTGAAATTGTGAGTCTTTTTATTTATTTGGTAGGTTTTTGTTTTGTTTTTCTGAACTGGTGTTCGACTTTAGCTTGGTGGTTTGAAATCGAACAAAATAAAATAGTCCAGCATCACACTGCCGAACAAAAAATATAAGTTTGGTAACCAACTACCGAATAAAAAATACATTTCTGAAAACCCCAAACAGAATTTTTTAATTTATTCGATTTCTCATTACCAAGTATTTTCAGTTTCATTTTTTTATAGTTTTTATTTTTTTGCCTGGAATGATTATACTTATACTCATTGCAACAACACAACTACTGCAATATTAGTGGACTCTTGTCATGAATTCATTACAGATAAGGTTTGTTAAGTTTTTTTTAGGAATACGATTTTTTCTTACTTTTAATTTATATTGAGTTTTATTAATAATTTGACGTATAAATGTATTTATTATCTTTAGATTTTCAGTAGTCATGAAGCATTAATTAAATAGGCTTATGACGTTGGAAAGAAGACTGGATTTGTCATTGTCATTGTCATAAAGACATCAGTTGAGGGAGGCAATAGTAGAAAACCAAGACCTACACTTGCTTGTGAAAGAAGTGATTACTATATAGACAACAAGAAGATCAAAGGGAAATGATTGAGGTAGACAGGCTCTAAAAAGTGTGAATGTCTATTTCTAGCAAGAGGAAAAAATTACCTCCAAATTACCAAGACGAATTGTGATAACATGTTTGATTGATGGATGCAAATAATGACAAATTTTATGGTTACTCTATAGATATTCATACACTTGATTTTTTATGAATGCTTTTTATGTATCATTTTATGGATGCGTGTTTGATTTATGAATTTTTTTATTGATGCTTCAAGAAAAAAGTAAATCTTTCAATGTACAGCGACGGAGGCCTAGACAACTCTATTATAGTTTGGCAACATGACATTAGAGTAATCTCATTTGTATAACAATGTATCACTGAACAGGCACTTCACAAGTGACCCAAATTAATTTCTTGTTATCATCTAATTGGACAGCAACATAATGCTGAGGAAAAAAATATTGTCCGGTAACATAACACTAGAGTAATTCAAATTAATTAGCGTTGTATTACCAAACAGACCCACCATAAATTAAAAAATCATTGTTTAGAAGAAAGTAGCTCTATAAATGTATAGTGACAAAATGCTAGAGAGATCTATTTTTTCTGGCAGCATAATACCGGAATAATGTATATTATTTAGCACCGTATTACCAAAACTAGTGGTGTAAAGAGATGAAATAGTTAATTTGTGGTTAGTTTTAGTAATATATTGGAGGTGTAATGAGAATTACATTTTTTTTAGTAGTGTAATGAGATGGAGGATGTAAAGAGTTTAAATAATGGTGTAAGTAAAATCACCCATTCTTTTAATAACATCAATTTTATATTTAAATTATTCAATTTTTTAACAATTTTACCCCGCTATCAATTGCCCTCTATAGCCCTCTATAATTAAATAAAAGTTACTAATGTGGCATTCAAACTTTATTTAAAATTTTATTTTCTCCCAAAATATCAATTAGACTTCTGAATAAAATAAAATTTGAGAGTTTAATTGATATTTTAGAAATAGTTTAGGTGGTAAAATAAAATTTCAAACAAAATTTTAATGTCACGTCAACAACTCCCATTTAATTATGAACAAAAGTTAACAACTGAGATAAAATTAATCTAATATTAAATAATTTAAGTATAAAATTAATATTATTAAAAGAATAAGAGTTGAATTGATTTTTGAGTGATAACTTGAAAAGCAAAATAATATTTCCTCCGATATATGCATACCATTATAAGGATAAAACAGACCCCAAAAGAAATAAATAATTTAAATGAGAGAACTTATTCAATGACATTTAACTATTCAGAACTATTAGTATGATCTATTAATAAATAACCCTATTGAATTGGACTTTCTAATAATTTACCCTACACAAAAATCATATTTTTTTCTTGAGTGTTGTTATTTGCACCCATTAATTATTTTGAATTCCTTATTTTTTGGGACCACCACTCATAAATTTTAAAATCCTTAATTTCTTTTCTCCCCTCAAATAATACCAAAATCATCCTTATGAAAACATTTTACTCATTCAATTGAATGCATACCCCGACATCCCAAAAAGCCTCTTTCTCCAAAACCCTAACAAAATCCACGAAAGTGATTACTACTTCATCTCCACATACTTGTTTATGACCTGAAAAGATAAATGTAAGCTTTTGTTGTTGATTTAAAATTTTCCTTTTGTGAGTTTTGTGATCTCCATGAATTTTTAGTTATCTGTTCCCAAATAATAAGAAAATGTTCAGTTACCTATTACCGAACAAATGAACAATGTTCGGCCTTATGTTTCCGAATTTCGATTATATGTTCGAGAGTTCAGTCCTAAAAAAATGACGAATAATGTTTGTTATTTTTGTCATTTTTTTTCAAAAAACTTGCCCTCACAAGGCCAATGTCTTCTGAGTTAAAAACACCATCAAAGTTATGAATCTCCTCTAAACTTTTATTGTTGTACTCCTCTCGTCACACGGAGTTGTGATTGCCTGAAAAATTTCTACTCATTGTCATTGTCAGAGAAGTGTAAGATCAAATAGTTACCACCGTTACTGCCGCAATATTTCTGCCAAAAAATTTTAAAGGTTTTAAGGGTGTATAAATTTTAAAGGTGGGATTTAAGAAAGATGGATAGGTGGTGATGGAGGTAGATACTTTTATAAATCCTAACTCATGATGTAGTGAATGTATAGACCTAAATGTGAGATGGAGTGTTTCAAAATTATTAATGTCTTTTTTATTAATTTCATTTGAGGTTATTATTGTAATAAAATAAAATAAGGTGAAAAATAGAGAATTCAAAATAATTAATGGAACGTTAATAATAGCAATCATTTTTCTTACCTAATCCATATTCCCCTTTACTTTCTATAGAATCTATAACAGTTCCCTCCTATATTTCCATCTCAAATCACTTCATTTGAAATCTCTGTATCCAAACAAAACCAATTTCAATTCATTTAATTAAATTTAATTTTTGGAAGATTTAATAGAAAATCATTTTTCAAGTATTTATATCTTAATTAATTCATAAGATATTCTTATATTCCAATAAATCTTATTATTTAAACATTTGATCTACCAAATCCTAATTATCATATTTAAAATATTTTATCAATATTTCTACCCTTACAAATATTTTTTTAAATAGTTAACAATTTGATAATGTAAAAATTCTTATTTTACAATGTTAATATTTACATTGACGTGTAAATGTTCACATAGACAGTGTAAACATTCGCATTGACACGTTTACATTCACATTGACAATGTAAACATTCACATCACAAAACATTCATTCTGTAAATGTAAACATTATTAAAAATATTTTAATAACTATGTCACTCATATAACTTATTAAAATATAAGAAAATTATGTAGACTAAATAGAATGTTAATAAATAAAAAGAAATTTATGAAAAAATACCCCTTAATTTTTTCTTACTTATCTATTCCTTTATTTATTTATTAATTAACGACGTCTAATGAATTACAATCAGAATAAAGATCAAATATACACACAAATTCTTAGAATAAAAGCAAGAAATTCCAAAGTTTAATTTTTATAACAAATTAAACCCTGAGTTTTTAAATTATTCAACTAAAACCATTAATTTTCAACCTTATAACAATCTAAACCCAATGTCTGTCCATATCTGAAGCTCCCACATAGTTGCGTCACAGTAGAGTCATGAATTATACTATGCAATGAAGCTCTTTCCTTGGATACAGCAGAAAGAATTTAAGTGGCAACAATACTAATCCCTTCTGCTGCAGCAAGGTTTGACCCCACAACACTTGCGGCCCTGCAATGACAAGTGGATTGTGTTTCCCTGAATGTGCCTCTGAGCAAAACCAGCTCTTGAACTTAATGACGACCATGCAACATATAACAATGTTTCTGCAATTTCCATTGAAAATCCATTATTACTAAGATCCAAATATTGCAAGTGTTTTGCCAAACCAATAGCAGTTGAAAGATCTCGAACTAGTAACTGGAGGCTCTCTTCATCAGAAGGGTTACGCTGACATGATGAGCTCATCATGCAGCTGTCACTGGGACTACTCGATGATGATGCTGCAGCAGCAGCAGCTTCTTCAGCTGGCATCCTGATTGGATTTGGAGGATGATCATCATCTTCGCTATCAGCAGCTTCAAGCTGAATACATTCTGTCTTTACTGCAAATGATGACCCTTGTTGGGCAGGCTCAACTTCCTCAACCAAGGAAACCCTGAACGAAGGAGAGTCACAGAATTTTTTATTTGCCTGCTGCACTGACTTTGAACACTCTGTCACTGTTGAGTCATGATGTTTCAACATATGATATTTATCCAGACTGGCATTTTCAGCAAGATTGAGCTCTTCGAGAGAGCAATTCTCAGATAGTGCCTGTAGTATCCCAAGAACACCAAGAAGACCAAGGTGACACTTGCTCAGATCCAAAACTTTTAAACAACACCGAGGATTTTTTAGTAGCAAAACTAATGCACTTCCACCCTGCATTTTCACATTTCCGGTCAGATCTTTTATCAAAAAGTTACGGAAATTTTGTTTTAGAATGTTACAAATATAGTCCACATAAGACCAACTCATAGAAAACCAAGTTCTTTGCGACAGAACCAAATAGTGTGGAGCAAATAAGGAACATTCAATGGTTATTAACAGCCATGAATGATTACACCTAGATTACAACTATAAATAAGCTTCCAAGTATAATCTGAATGTATGGCTATTACAATTACTAAACTGTATCTGCCCACTAGATTAACAGTTGACAGTAGACACTAATTCCTTGTAAAACTTCTGATTTACACGGTAACACAAAAATGGATATGCTGTAGTCCAAAAGTCGAGCCATCCCTCAGTGCAACATGAAGATTTGGAAATCCACTGTGAAATATAGGTCAGATTCGAAATTTGAATATACCGTGGGACTTGCCTTGGTAGGAGAAGCATTTTTTAAACGAGAACAAAATCCTAACAAAAGTGGGTCCATAAAAACCCACAGAGAGTTTGTGAACCGACCCACGTGGAATCCACTGCAGGGAGCACAAGCCCTTCAGCGAACTAGCCGAAGCAAGAAGGGTGCCTCCAGAACTACTGAAGAGAAATCCAAAAGAATGAGAAGTAAGGCCAAGTCTCTCTGAAAGGTGAGCTCAATGAGAAGCCCCCAAAAGGCAAGGTGAAACCAATCAAGGGTAAAACCCTCTAACGCAAATAAGGCCCTTGAGCGAAGCCAAATCCCCAAAGTGCCCCCTAAGAATGGGGTCGTCTTAGAGTTGATAGCGGGCTCAAGATTGTCAAAATACTGTGGACATGTCAAAATGATGACTCCCATGAAGATGGGGAGAATGAGATCCAAAGGCAAGAAATCTCCTCCCCATAGATAAAATTACCCAGGCCAAGAGAGCTTGTCCCTACTCAGAATGGCATACCAAGGGAAGTCCCCAAGGTTTGGTGCGCGGCATAGTCTAACTGATAGAAGGCTGCACTATGACCCCTGATTGAGACGTTGGGGATCTCGTGGCTTGCTGGCTAAAAGTAGGGGTTCACTGAAGTAGTTGCTAGTATAGCTGATATAAAGCTACATTTCTCGAAGGTCATACTGAGGACTTATGAGGTCCTGAAATGGAAAAACCGAGGGAAGCACGCACCCAGGAATTCCCACTTTGATTTCCGAGACATGTGGCATCACCCTATTGGCTACTTGGCCACCTATGAGCCAAAGAAACGCCTATAAATAGGAGTCATTTCCCACAGCTCAGGAGTGATTTTGGAGAAATTCCTAGAGCTCTTTAAGTAGAGTGATTTTGGGATTCTCATAGCTTGATAAGAGAGTTAAACTGGGAAAAGGGAAAGTCTTGCCATTGCCATTGTCTTTCCTGATTTGCTTGCCCTACTCTCACTCCATCTCCGGCTTACTGTTCACATTACTCACGCCTCCGGTGATACATGTCGAGAGTCATCACTAACTCTCCTCTCTAGATTCTTCTAAGTTTTCCTCTCTAGATTCTTTCCTTCTCTCTCTAGCAATCTTTACATCCAGCATTTATATATATACTCCACTGTCAACAAAGGAGCCTTCTAGATTGTTAAGGTCTGTGATAAACTGACTTCCTAAGTGAGCAACAATATGTATAAATAGATGGCTTTGGGTCTATGTTATGTAATGAGCGAAAGGATCAAGTCTTGGCGTGTATGTGTGTAGAGACAATCAAAGTGTAAGTGATTGATGCAAAGGTGACGTGTGAGTGAAAGGTGCAGTCTTGGATACGAGTCTTACTAGCTGTGAGTGTTAGTGTAATAGTGAGAAGTCATAAGGTGTATTGTTGTAGTGTACAAGTGTCTTGTGTACTTGACATTGGTTGCATTTGGGAAGGGGCAACTTTGTGGGCTTGTCGGCTATTTGAATATTTTAGTAGGTTATTTTAATTTGTGTTTGGGAACATGCGTTGGATTTTTTGGTTGATTGTTGTATTGAAAAATGTGTTTGAAATGATGTTTGAATAAGAAATGACCAAATTGCCCCTATCCTAATAAAATCTCCTTTTCCCAAATAACAAAGTGTACCGTTGATGTCTTAGGCATGTTCTAAGGGGCAAAATTGTCATTTAACCACCTGTGGTGGCAGTCTGTGAACCACGTGATGCTCCCTTTCTTCATTTTTAGGATTTTTGACTTTTTTCTTGCTTGAGGCTATTTTAGCCCCTAACCTGTTTTCCCAAACGCAGCCATTATTAATAAAAGTTGTATTTTTGGGTGTCAAACTCAACAATACAAATTTTGTACCCTATATTTTTGAACCTCCTACAAACTGGAAGAATATCATGAAGAGGTCAAAAAATACCTTAATGAGGATTTTTAGACAATTATTGGCATGATAGGAAATGATAGAAGAATTAGAGATGAAAAGAACAGATTTACAAATATTTAAGGAAGAACTTGTTGATGACAAGAAAAGGGAGGTAGATGACATGGTTTTGCAACATGCATGTAAAGATCAAGGAATAGAAAGGTGATGATAGGTACTGAGTGAAAGAATTACAATCATGAAGGGATTACCAAAAACACAGCATCCTAATTAAGAGAAGACTTATTGGTCTATAATTTAGTACAAGTATTGCCCCAAATAGCCCAAACTTACTAGGAACTAGGAAGGGCTTGATCAGGCTGTGGATGTAAAAGCTGTTTGGTTTTTTTTGGTTTTGGTGCACCGAGCAAAATTCAAACAACAGTCTCCAAATTTGGCTCTAAAACTTTAAAAAAAAAAAAACAAAATTAAAATTCATTATTTCGTTTTGCTACTAGTCATTCATCACCATTTCTTCATCAATTAGGACTGGATCGAAGTCATGGAGGTCGCCGGCGAGTCGACTGGACTGGATCGAAGTCCAGGTTTGTTTCAAGACCTTTACTCTTCTCCTTTGCTCTCTGTGTCCAGATTTGGACACGCGTGTCTAGATTTGGTGGACACGCGTGCCTCCGCCATGTCTCCACCGTGTCCCCTGCAAAAAAATAATTAAATTAAAGGGACACGCCACCCGGCGTGTCCCGTACGTGTCCCCGACGTGTCCCCGTGTCAGACACTGCCACGGCATGAAATCTGCCATGTCCATGCTCCATAGCTTACTAGGAACTAGGAAGGGCTTGATTAGGCTGTGGATGTAAAAGCTGTTTGGTTTTTTTTGGTTTTGGTGCACCGAACAAAATTCAAACCACAGTCTCCAAATTTGACTCTAAAACTTTTAAAAAAAAAAAAACAAAATTAAAATTAAAATTCATTATTTCGTTTTGCTACTAGTCATTCATCACCATTTCTTCATCAATTACCTTCTTTTATGATCAAAACACTACGATTCACACTTTTGCAAGGAGATTCACAATAGAGAAGATGAAATGAGAAAGGAAGAAGAGGAATAGGGTTGCAAAAGTGGTGATCGGGACGGTGGGCTACTTCAGGGCAGTCGGAAGTGACAATGTGATGGTGGTGGTGGTGGTAGAAGGTGGAATAGGCAGGGTTTGAAGGATAAGTGTAAGGAGAAGAGGGAGATTAGGGATGAGAATAGAAGTGGAATTATATAGTATGTAAAGAGAGAACATAATTTTTTACTGTAGTGTAAATACAAAAGGGCTCTTATAAATACTTGGAAATTGTCTATAATAGACCCTAAATACTTCAATCAGCATCTTTTAGAAACCAAAATCCACACCAATGAATTTATCGATTCTAACTTTTCCTTTGTCTACACCAATTGCTCCCACTCAAACCCAAAACTTTGATACGAGTTGTAAGGAATTGATATACCTAGCTAGGATCGGTGAGACGAAGCACAAATAATAATCTAAATCAAGCACACAAGAACATAGATTTATGTGGTTTGCTCCATAATAGGGCTACATCCACGGTTGTTGTTTCACTATGAACTGAAAGAGTTACAATATAGTATAGAGAGATGTGGCACTTCAACAACAAATACTAGTATTTAAAAATTGCGAAATATCAAAAATACCCTTACTCCAAAATCAAGTCAAAGTCTAGGGGTTAGTGTTCAGTACTTATCAAGATCCACACTATCGAACAAAAATATATAGAAAAACTTGAGTTAAAGTTTGTTAAAATAAAACTGAATTTATAGAATGTAACTTTAGTAATGGTAGAAGTGAAAATAATAGGAAAGTGAAAATTGAAAACCAAGAGATAAACAAATAGTGAACAATTTCATTACCTACGGTCGATTATTAGTAAGGATGGTTGGAGATAATGTGATTTATAAAATCAAAATAGGTTGACCCAAGTGAGTGTGTCATGCTTGTTATGTGATCAACAAATACCAACAAAATTGAAAAAAAAAATTAATAGAACTATGAAGTATGCTTTAAGAAACATAAAGTTGGGCAACTAGGAAACAACACGTTCATAAAATGAGTAGTTGAGATGAGAATGCTTAGATAGATCTGTGGCAAGACTACAAAAGATAGATTTAGAAACTAATATATTCTTGAAATGGTAGGAGTAGAACCAGTTGGGAGAGAAAAATGATTAAGACAGTTTGATCATGTACAACAACCTATAAATGTAATGGTAAGGAAGAGTGATATGATCACCGTGAATGAAAATGTTAAGGGGAAGAACAAAAAAACTGACATGGGATGCAATAGTAAAAAAATATATGGATTTATTGATCTAACTGAACATATAGCCCATGATAGAACAAAATAATGAAAAAGGATTCATGTAGCTAACCCCACTTGATTGGGACACAAGGATTCGTTTCGTTTAGTTTAGTTTAATTGAATGTTGACGCAAGCAGGATGAGCAGCTTAGATAAACCAGCCCCAAACTGATATCTCATATATACCACACCAACTTAAATTAATTAAAGCCATTTACCTCTTGCATAATCTGATTTCCTCTGAGGTTCAGATCAACAATACTACTGATCAGTGAGACTTCATCATTGAGTCTGACAATGTATTGAGAGGTTAGTCCACAAGACGACAAATCAAGTTTCATCAATTCATGAGTCCCATTGGATAAGGACTCAATTAATTGCAATGCTCCATCCTGTAAATTATAAATAAATAAATAAATCATACACAATGAGAAACAATATTAAGTACAACAAATATATTTGGCAAGTGCACTTCAAAGGAATCCACCAACAAATGAAACATCAGCATGCTGGAGCATCTACTCACAGTTCCAATACTTGTATCTCCAAGCATCATTGTTGACAAGCATGAGATCTGAGAGAGTTGGCAAAGACCGTCTACTACATGCTTACTTAGCTTCAGACCATTCAGATTTAGTTCCGAAAATCTACAACCAAAGCAAGTAAATAAAAAATAAAAACAATCAACTGAAGCCACAGAATTTGAAACCAATATAAGGAAAAACATAGACAAAATTAAGTTTAATAGAGACCTCTTTAAAGAGGCAAGTTTGGCCAAAAGATTGACTATTGCATTTGAAGATATAGGGTTGTTATATCCTGTTCAACATGAGAAGTAGAACATTAGTTAGCCAACGAAAAAGGAATACATTGAAGATAGTTGTAAATCTATTTGCTAAATCAAGAATACCTAAACAAATCTGTGATAGGACAGATTCAGATCCCAGTGAATCAGCAACCTTCTGAATTGTTCTGGATGTGATAGAACAGCGCTCAATATTTAAGCTATAAAGGGCTACAAAATAAAGAGCTCAAGTAAGTAGAATAAAATGCAGGGTCTCTGCAACTCTAAATTTCATAAAGAGACTCCAAATCCTAATTAGATTATCATTATTTGATCACGTTTTTGCCAACTAATTGGGATGAAATCAACATTATATTTGCCCACAATGCAGTGCAAAAGGAGCCTGGTGAGAGGGCAAAAGTAATAAAGCCATTGTGCTCAGTTTGTTCGTTTTAATATTGATCATAATTAGGTACAGATACCAAACCTAACAAACATTCACTTGAAAGAGCGGAAAAAGCAATTTACCTTTGCAATTTTGTAAGATAGTTGAAAGATAAAATCCACATGCATCAGTCAAACGGTTGCTAGAGATATTGAGCACTTCCAATCGAGCAAATAGGACAGGGCATTCACAAATCTGTATCTCATGAGGGAAACAAACTATGAAGCCAACTGAAAAGAGTTTTTGATGTTCAAACATAACAAAGAAATACACTCTAGTGCTATAGCAAGGAATTTCAAAACCACGAAGAATATTGTTTGTGAGATGCATAAATACAGGCTTTTATCCAAAGTATCGTGATTCGAACACACATGACTTCGTCTAAAAAACTGTTCTCTTTCATTCTCGACAGTGAAGACCAAGTTTATGAGCTTATAATCCTAGGTCGGAACAAGTTGATAGGATCTCCTCCCATAACCCAATTTTCACGGTTTAGGGCTGCTCCCATTTCGCTCAAGATCTTTTTAAGTAACAGTCTTCTAATCCAGTGCATCTGCACTGCAGCTTGTATGGGACTCTGATAAATATTAGAATTCCTTCAGATGATGAACCGTCTAAAAGAATCACCGGGAAGGTTTATTTAAAAAAAAAAAAAAAATACCCTAATAAAGATATTTTATAGAATGAAAAAGAAACAATGAGATACTCATAAGTCATATCTACCAATTCTGAGAATTATGTAGTTTAAATTAGCTCCATTTTCTCACATAGATCTGTAAACTTCACTTTCTCAAGTAATAGCTATCTAGTATAGTCCATCTGTAAAACTATTACTTTAAGGAAGAAGCACAACAACTACGCAACAGCAATACTTCAAAGCATGGAGAAGATTAATGGGTTACAGACCTGGAACAACGCAGTTGGACCAAAGCGATTGCAGTGCAAATCCAGAACCAAACTGCCATATCTTTGACCTGATGATGTAAACACCTGCTGAAGTTTCTCCACAGTTCCATTTCCTGAAGATAAAAGCTAATGTGTAGCTAAAAATACCCAAGTAAATGGCAAGACTAAATATTTTTTGGAAAAAACTACAAGAATTGATGGAAATAGTTGCTATTTGGGAAATATGTAACAGATATGTTCAGGTCAAGATTTTCATCTGAACGAACACTAGGAAATAAAAATGAATACAGCTTACAAACTATGTTACATGGACTCGGGTACGGGTGTCGGGTGCGGGTATGTATCTAGAGGTCGGACTCATCAAATCATAAATTTAAGGATACGCGGACTCGGCAAAAAAATGTCATATTTTTATATTTTTAATCTAATATGTGAGATAAAATGGTATTATATTTAACTTATAGTGTCAAAATGACATTTATAGCAATTATATAACAATATATACATATAATAATAGTGTTATATACAATTATATAAGAAGTATCCGTTGAAAAGTATCCGACGCATATCCCATACCCTTGTCCGAGTGTCGGGTGTCCGACACGGGTATTTGATTTAATTTGAAGAGTCCATGTAACATAGCTTACAAACCAAATACCATTACCTAGCAAATTGTGAGATAGGTCTAAAACAGAAACTGTCTTGTGAGCTTGCAAGGCATTTAGTAATGGTGTTATTGACACATCTTGTAATTCACAATCAGACAAAATGACTTCAAGCTCTGAAACCTGGCAAAAAAAAAAAAAAGAATATGATAGATTTTAAAGATTCTAATAACTTTTCGGTAGTTTGAAGAACAGAGAGCCAAAAATGATAATTCTGCATCACTAAAAAGCACATTAAACATATAATTTTACCTCCAAATTGTATAACTTCTTAAGCAATTTCAGATTGGGGGGCTCAGATAACTCCTTGCAGCAGTCAATGTAAAGCTTCATCAAACGCTTCTGTACCCAACCTGAACAGATAGTAAATGGAATTGAAGGCTTATATCACTGACACACAGATATACAATAGAAAAATGTCAGAAATGAAAAAAGAAAACAGAGAAAAAGTACACAACTACATAAATCTGGAGCGCCTACTTCTCAACAAAATACCCATGCACTGTTAAACATCTTTTGCATATTCAACAGAGTACCAAAGGTTCAGAACTTCGCTTCAAACCCCATGAAGATTTATTCTCCAAATCATTTTGACTTGTTCCAATTTAGACTGGGAATATTGTTTCCAGGACTCATCCTCCAAATTATTCTCCACTTCGGTTTCATTTTCAATCTGGTGTTGCTAATATTCAATGCATTATTTATGTTTTCAATGTTCATCTTTAATTAACTCAATTAGTGCTGGCTTGTAAAACCTCCTGAAAATTAGTGCTTCAAATAAAGACAATGACACCATATAATCCAATAGATAATTCCCATCTTCAAAAAGACAACATGAGGCCTGGAATTCTAAGTAACATATTACCCATTAAAGATCTGGAATCAACTAAGATATTAATCCAAATTATCAAGTCCATTACTTTCTGACCTTTAATGTTTTACTTAAGTATAGCTAGCTCAAATAGACAATGATATCAGTAAAGAATGTAAATGTAAAAACAGAAAATTTTTAAAATTAAATTCATGTGAAAGGCTAACTCCTCCAAGAAAATAACTAAGCACATTAAAAAAAAAAAATACCATTGATCATCTTACTGACTGAAGCAGATCAATCAGTCAAAGAAAGTTCCTGCAATCATGTTTTGCCTATATATATATATATATTGATAAATCATGTTTTTGCCTATATTTACATATATTGATTTTCAAATATTTGTCAAGAAGAAGAATGTCGAATGTTGTGGTGAACCCGAGCACAGGTCATGGTAAGCCCGGGCGTACGCCTGCACAAATCAAGTATTTTGTCTAGGTGAGCCCGGGCGCAGGCCGTGGTGTGCACAGGCGCACACCCTCCAGAATAGAGCTCTGATTGAGCCTGAGCGCAGCCAGATAATGTGCAAGGAAGCCCGAAAAAGTGAATTTTTATGCTCCTTTTGAGCCCATTCAAACCCCAATTGCTATGGGAGTAAAAAAAGATGACTTAGCCTTCAGAAAAATGGGTTCTTCACATATCAAAAGACGGCACAAGAAGCAAGAGGAAGGAAACCCAAGGTTCCAAGGATGGAGTTCTCAACATATGGTTTTCTTCACCTTCTCCATGGGCAACTAATCTTCTTCCTTATAGTGTGGATAAAACCCTAGCAAAAGTAACTTTGTTTTGTTGTATTTTACTTTGGTATTGATTATTAATACAATGATTGTATAACTTTGAGACAATTTCTATTCAATAGAATTCATTCTTCCAATCATGTTTGATGTATTTAATTTTGGTGAATTTTAAATACATGGTTATACAATGGTAATCTCTGTACATGTATTTGAGAGTTGAGATAACTCATGCCTAGAGAAGACAAGACATCCTGCAACCCTAGTTCAATGTAGACGTTCCGCGCTAATCAAAGATCAGTTATGCCTGATTCTTAAGTCTATTAATTCTCTTGAAGACATCTGGCTCTCCAATGTGTGAGTGTTGCTGCAAGAGGAAGAGGATGACACCGCAAGACCAGGCGTCGGCCTTTGCGCCGTCGAAGCCGCGGCAACGGAGGACTTCCGGGGAGGTGTATGCCGGAGTTCCGCAAGTGGTTTGGAGCACTTGCGGTGGAGCTGGTTTTCCGGAGAGGCGGAGAGGCCAAAACAACGGAGATTTTCAAAACTCCGGCGGCGGTAATGAGAAGGTTCTGGGGCTTGTGACATGCATGCTGATCTCAAAACCAAGTATGGTGTGAGTGGGAGCATGGAACATGCAATACGACCCACTAGAGTTGAGGCACTCTCAACTTTCAGACGAAGGAGAGTGTAGAAAATTCCAGCGGGCAGCGAAGGCAAGGTTGCCGGCCGGCTGCCCGCCGGTGAGAAAACAAAATACGGGCCTAAATCTTATTGCTCTGATACCATGTAGAAAATTTAATGTATAAAGAGAAATAGAGAATTGTATAGATATTGATTGTATTATTGATTGATATATATTGTATATTACAAATGGTGAGAGGCTCCTTATATAGGAGATGTAGTGGAGTAGGTGGTAGTAGGTGGTAGTAGGTGGTAGTGGTAGGTGTGTAGTAGGTGGTAGTAGGTGGTGGTAGGTGTAGTAGGTGGAGTAGTTTTTAACAATTACTATGACACTAGAAAGATATAATATTCAATATCCATATAGATATTCCTATGGCATTAATGATCGTGCAGTACCCATGCTTTTTTGTTCCCGGGATAAGAGGAATATCCACTGGTTGGTGTTATTCAGTGGATAATGAATTAACCAAACTGATTGTGCCTGGTAAGTGTAAGTCAAACACGGCATGTATTTTTGATCAACTTTATTTTTATCCTAACAAGGGTTTTGCTTCAATTGATCATCATCTGTCAGTGTAGAGCTTTTTTATGAGATTGTTGTAATGACAATATAAGCTAAAGAAATGACTGAGCCAATCACAGCAAACCAAGTAACATGACAGAGGACAGGACATGACTACTCTTGATGGATTCTATCTTTTACTCCCTACATTACATTGACTTCCAACAACATATATTGTCAACTTGGGTTCTTCACTCATTTCTGAAGTAGCTACATAACAAAGAAACCAATTGAGAATATATTCCATGAAGGCAAACATTCAAATTTGACATAAATTCCTATCCAAGCTGTTTTCTGGGAACATGCCTGATAATTGGTTTCATGTATGGCTCAAGAACTTTACACAAATCTAAAGAATATATGAAACTATTTGAGCCTGAGCACAACCAGTTCCTTGTTTTTATTTTAAAACCCTTTTTGCCGTTCATAACTGCATATGACATGTTTTTTGACAAATAGTTGAACCAGCACTTGCAGCTTAGAACAAAACACAGTGTTCAAACATTCTAGACATTGACAAAAACATGCACAAGGCTACTTTTTTCTACACCACTGCTAGGCATTGCCAAGGTTGTGACAATCAACAAATAGAAACATGGAAATCCCAGAACATCAAAAGTGCATACCCCTAGATCTCTTCTCTGTTGGAAGTTGTAGATAGTATAAGCATGCAACTTCAACTTTCATGCACTCTATGCTCAACTCATCACCAACCATACATGAGCCCAGTTCTACATGTACAAAGTCTTCATCAATTTTGAATGTCAATTTTTGCTGCAAGTAACACAAGCACTGAAGGTTATTAAATATGACTGCGATAGCAACAAGAAAAACAACAACAATGCTGCAAAATGGCACGGGCAAGTTAGTGATACGCAAGCAATCCCAAATTTGTACAGTCTATTGACAAGCAGCAGATTTGGCAAGTTAGTGATATGCAAACATTGCCGAATTTGTAGACGGTATATTGACAAGCAGCACAGTTGCTTCACCCCTTCACATCTCTCTGAATCACAATATGGCCAAAGATGCATTAGCATCTGTCAATCTAAGGTAAGGAAAATAACACCTATCAATTGGTAGGGCTGATTTTGGGGTTTAAATAAAGAGTTACAACAAAGCTCTGTTTGTTTGGCTATAAATTATTTTACTTGGAAAATATTTTTCTTGATAAAAGGTTTTACGTGAAAATTCAGTTTTTCTCCCCGTTTTCTGTATTTGGCTAAATGTTGATAATTTTCAATTTATGAAGCATCATTATGATATATTGTTGAAGCACTTCATCAAACAATTCACAAACAAGGAATGCTTAAAATGAAACGCATACCTATAGCTTCTAGTTTAATATCAAAACAATCACAGAGATTTGAAAGTAACACTACTGACTTGAATAAACTAAACCAAACTAAGCCTTGTGTCCCAATCAAGTGGGGTTGGCTACATAAATCTTTTTTCTTCATTTCAACTCTATCAAGGGCTATATGCTCAAATAAGTTAATTAAATTCATATATTTTTCACTACCACATCCCATGTCAACTTAGGTCTTCGCCTCACCCTAGCATCTCCATTTATGTTGATCCTATCGCAATTTCTTGTTGTTGCATCTATAGGCTTTCATTGTACATGACCAAACCACCTTGACCTCTTATCTCTCAACTTATCTTCAAATAGGTCTCCTACCATTACATAAATATATTCATTTCTAATTCATTTTCATCTAATTTTACCACACATTCATCTAAGCATTGTCATTTCAACTACACTCATTTTATGCACATATTATTTCTTAGTTGACCAACAGTTTCCCATAAAGCATCACTAGCCTTATAGTTCTATAAAATTTTCTTTTTAATTTTATTGGCATTCATTGCCGATCACATACTATGCCAGACACATTTCTTCACTTGAGCCAACCTATTTTGATTATATATATCACATCATCTCCAGTGCATCAAGAGTGAGGATTCTAAGGTATTAGTGAATGATGAAGAGATTAAGGAAATATGGAAGAACTATTTTGAGAAACTATTAAATGAGGAACATGAAGGTACGTCAATAGGGGAAGAAATAACCAATAATACAATAAACCAAGACTATAGGTTCTATCGTAGGATTAAGAACTTTGAAGTAGAGATTACACTTAAGAAGATGAAATTAAATAAGACTTTAGAACCCAATGATATCCTTATTGAAACTTGGAAGTCTTTGGATAAAAAGGGAGTTGCTTGGTTGACTAGATTGTTTAGCAAAATTTTGTTGACTAGAAATATGCCAAATGAGTGGAAGAAGAGTATTTTAATGTCAATCTATATGAATAAAGGAGATGTCCAGAATTGCAACAACTATAGAAGAATCAAGCTAATGTGTCATATAATAAAAGTGTGAGACATGGTGATGGAACACCGATTGCGAGATATAACAGAAGTGTCAGATAATCAATTTGGATTTATGCCTGGCAGGTCAATAATGGAAGTGATCTATCTTTTAAGGAGAGTAATAGAAAAGTATAGAGAAAAGAAAAGAGACATTCATATGATATTTATCGACCTTGAGAAAACATACAATAGAGTGCATCGGGATATAATATGGTGAGTATTAGAAAAGAAAGGGGTGACAAAAGGTTACATTGATGTGATTAAGGACATGTATGAAGGGGTGGTGACCACTATTAGATCGCCTGCTGAAGAGACAAATGAATTTCCTATTACTGTAAGGCTACACCAATGATCTACCTTGAATTCTTATCGTTTTGCTTTAGTTATGAATGAGTTGATGAGAAATATTCAAGATGACATGTCATGGTATATGCTTTTTGCAGACGATATCGTGCTAATGGATGAGACTAGAGAAAGAGTTAACACAAAGTTAGAGATTTGGAGAAAAATACTCAAATTTAAAGGATTTTGAATAAGTAAAACTAAGACAGAGTACATGGAGTGTAAATTTAGTAACAATAACAATGAAAGCCGAGTAAAAGTGAAGATTGAGAACCAAAAACTGTCTAAGAATGAACATTTTCATTATTTAGGATCGATTATCACAACAGCAGAGGAGATTGATGTAGATATGGCCCATAAGATTTAGGTGGGATGGTTTAAGTGGAGGTACTGTGCAATAAATGAATACCCACTCGACTAAAAGATAAGTTCTATAGAACAGCTATTAAACCAGCGATGTTATATGAGACGGAGTGTTGGGCAACCAAAAAACAACATACAGATAAAATGAGTGTGGCTAAGATGAAAATGCTAAGATGGATGTGTGGCAAGACTAGACTAGACAAGACAAAATTAGGAATGAGTGTATTCGGGGATGGGTAGGAATAACACCGATAGAAGATAAGTTAAGAGAGAACCAATTGAGATGGTTTGGTCATATTCAACGGAGACCAACAGAGACAGTAATGAAAAAATGCAATGCAGTGATGGTAGCTAGAAGTGTTAGGGGACCAAGTAGGCCTACATTGACATTAGCTAGCATTGTAAATAGAGATTTAGATATACTTAATTTGACTAACGAAATGGCTTTTGATAGAGCCGCATGGAAAAGCAAGATTCATGTAGCCGACCTTATTTGATGGGACTTAAGACTTTGTTTAGTTGGTTGGTATATCACATCATCTCCTATCTCACCATCCTTATTAATAATCAAACCTAAGTAACAAAATGTTCACTATTTGTTATCTATTAGTTTTCAATCTTCACTTCTCCATTATTTCCACTTATACTATTGCTAAAGTTACATTCCATATATTCAGTTTTATTTCTACTAATTTCAAACCATTTTGACTCAAGTACTCCTCTCCAGATTTCTAATTTAGTGAGTGTTAATTCCTTCCTTAGTTTCCTCTATTAGAACAATATCATCAACGAATAACATACACCATGAGACATCACCTTGAATGTGTTTAGTTAATTAATCCATTACTAAGGCAAATAGGTACAACCACACAGTGATTGGAATTCTCTAGTTTCTCACGCAGGTGATCCAATTGTAGCCATAGCTCCATTATAGTATATCTTTTAGTTACACAATTTTTCTCCAAAACCCACCATATATTATCTCTAGCTACCTTATTATAAGCTTTTTCTAGATATATATAAAAACCATATGTAGATCGTTCATTTTGTCTCTGTACTTTTCTTTTAATCTTCTTAATAAATAAGTTGCTCCAACAGCTTACCTAGCTAGCATAAATCCAAATTGATTCTTTGACACAATTGTCATTACCCTTGAACAATGTTTGATCATTTTCTTCCAAAATTTCATGTATGGCTCAGTAACTTAATGCCTCTATTATTGTTGCAATTTTGAATCTCTCTTTTATTTTTATATATAGTTACTAAAATACTTTTTTCTCCACTCGTCAAGCACTTTTCTTCCACTCGTCAAGCACTTTTCTATTCATTACAATCTTATTAAAGAATTTTGTTAACCAAGACACACCCTCCTTACCAAAGTTTTTAAAGGCGAATGCATATCTCAAAGCGTTTCACCCCTTATGAGGCGAGGTGTAAGCCTCAAGGTGTTGAAGCGTAAGCATTTCAAATTTTAATATTTAGTGAATGAATTAAATATTTTAAAATAGTAAAAAAAAAAAAAACAAAATTAAATATGAAGGTGTAAATACTTTTCACCTTAAGGCATTGAACATTTTACTACATAGAAGGAAGTTTTCCTTCACTGCAAATGAAATTGATATTCTTAACTTTAGTGATTGAGCTTCTCACTTGACCATTAACTGTGTTCTTTTATTTTTTATTGATCATTTACTTAATTTTTCCTGTAGAATATAGTTGCAAAAATGGATTCTTTTTATTTTTTTATGTTTAAACAATCTAATAGGCTAAGTTTAACCAAATCCCAAGGCAATCTCTGCATGTGCGTACTCCTCACATGCTTATGCACAAAAAACGTACAAAGCGCACTTAAAGCGCATGTCTCAAACTATGATGCGCAAGCCTTTGAGGAGTCATGCCTAAAAATCAAAGCCTTGATGCGTTTTACCTTAGTCTTAAGGCGAGGCGAGCATTGAGGAAAGCCTTTTAAAACTCTGCTCCTTACCTAAACATTTCCAAACCTCAATAGGGATACAATCTAGTCCTAATGCCTTACTTGATTTCATCTTCTGCAATGCAACTTCAACCTCAAACTCCCTTAATTGACGATAAAAATATATATTCTCTAGTTCTATCAATGCTATCATATTCCTCTCCTCTTAAATTTTGTACATTTTTTTGTTTAAAAGTTTCTCAAAATAACTTTTCTACCTTGTCCTAATCTCCCCATCTTTCACTAACACACTTAAATCCCTATTTTTTTATACACTTAACATGATTAAAGGCTCTCGTTTTGCATTTTCTTAGTTTATTAAGTTTGTAAATGTTCTTTACTATCTAATCCAGCAGGCTTTTAACTTAGCATCTCTAATTGTCCTTTTAACCTCCTTATTTGCCAACTAGTATCCCTTAAAGTTTTCCTCATTTTTATCCTTTTGCCATTGTTTAAAACAGTCCTTTTTTATTCTAACTAGGGCTCATATCTCACTATTCCACCACCAAGTATCTTTAGATATAGGACATATTCCTTTTGACTCTCCAAGGACTTATTTTGATAGTCTTTTCATGCCTTCCACCATTGTATTAAGCATGTTATTAGCATCATCTTCAAAACTCCACGCTACTTTAAGCAATTTGTCCTTAAATATTTCTAATTTCTCACCCTTTAGATTCCATCATCTGGTTTGTGGGGTTTTAATCTCCTTTTTGGTTTGATTTTTCCCTTTAATAATATATCTAGAATTATTAGTGAATGTATTAAAAAAAGTATAGCATGCCCAACTTCATTAAGGTGGTGATACAAGGTACAAAGTGTTGGACCTTAATTGAAAAAATCAAATTGAAAATATATCAATTAGAAAGAAGGAAAATCACATTCCCAACTAATCCAATCAACAAGGAATGTTCAGAAGGCAATGTGGAACACATATATTGTGAAGGAAGCTATATGCCTAAGAGATTTGGATAGTGATCTAGGGTTGTAGCAGAACTTGACTATTGAGTACTGCAACAACCCACATGCCATATATTTCACTACCAATCAGATGTACAATGAGAAGAACAAGCATATTGATGACAAGGAGCAAGTGCACTTCATCCGAGATGTGGTTTCATAGGGTGCTATTATAGAGCAGAAGATTCCCACCACAGAGAATCTAGCAGATATGATGATGAAATCTATTCCAATAGCCAAGTTGCATGAACTTGTAAAGTTAAGGAGATGAGAAGAATTTCTATTTTCAACGAACAGCTAGAGAACTGTTCAAAAAATTGGCTCACTTTTGAGCCATGCTTTTCAACCTATATAAAAAGGTAGTCCGATTTTAACAAAAATGGGTTAGGTGAGGCCGACTGCAATGGCCAGCCAAAATGGAGAACAAAACAAGCACCGGCCAACCAATACAGAAAATATAAATGGTAAGCAAGCCTTATCTGTTTACACATTATGACCCTGAAGCTACCAATCACAAATATGGGCTTGATTTCTCAACAACATGCCAGCAACGGGAAATCAATACAAAAAAAAGAATGTGAGTAAAAATATAGAGTTTCTTGTCCAGAGTATATTTAGGTGTATAGAAGTTCGGGTATAATTTGGCGTATAGAGTGAGCTTCTTCCTCTCTCTGGTTAAGACTCAAAAGTATCATGTATCGTGCATCTCGTTTGGAAAATCAACTTTGGTAAGCCAAGTACAAGCCTCATCCTGTAATGTATTTTACCAAAAAGTACTCCCAATTTTGTGCCTAGTGTTTGAGGCACTCCCTTAGTAGGAGTGATGTCTGGGTTCGAGTCTCACCATTGCGTTATGCAACTTCCCCTTCCCCTATTCCCCTTTACCTATTGCAAGAGGGGCAAATTGCAAAAAATATTTTAAGGAAATTATTTAACATCAAAACAAATGGAATGCAACTGTGCAAGTGTAGAGACACGATTATACCACACCATGTGCAACAAAATGGGAAAAACAGATAAGAAACGGTATGCAAGCCTTGAGAACATCTGTTGTTGATACATATATGTGTGTCTGTGTGTGTGTGCATGTGTGTGTATTAATGCATGGTTTGAAAACTAAGAATACTCACACAATATTCATGATCACAAGCATGCTTGTTGATACCAAATAGGCTTTCAGTGACATCTGCATAATACTTGGAACCATTCTCATTAAATTTGGAATTTTTAACAGCTTCACAGGTACGTCTGAAATCTTTGGCATCCTGAGCAGCAACTTTAGGACTCCGGGATTTGTAAGAACAAGTGCTTTCTTCAATATTAATAGGAGTGCAAGTACTGATGGCACATTTGGAGGCAACTTCTGAGACATCCTGCCAGACCAAAAGAATAAAACATTTAACCACCAACTTATCCATAAGGAAAGCAAAAGACAGGAGTTTGATCCAACAAATTTTCCACCTGGAATTCACAGGCAGGACCAGCCAAGTTATCTCCACTCTTAACTGTAAACAAGCAAAAAACTCACTCAGTACTTAGTTTTTTTAATAAGCATATTATGTTCAAAGAAATTAGTGTTAAAGCTCACATTCATCACAAGTGGCAACATCCTCTTTTGGACCTCTATGTTTTGCTCTTGGGCACTCTACCTCATCATGCATTTCACCTTCATCGTCAGAAAGGATTACACGGATGCGTTTATGACCAACAAATGTTTGCTGACTATCAGTAGATCTAGGCACACTTTTAGGCAAAGATTGAGTTGGCTTTGTAGCAGTCACAGGCACAAAAGCAGTTTTCAGTTTGGCTGAATATTTATGGGGATGAAGAAGTGAAATCAAAGGTAGGTCATCGTTTAGCTCTTCCACTCTAGCATGAGATTGTGATGTCACAGAATTGTATTTACTTGTCTCTTGGGAACAGCTCATATCAGACCCATTTGGTGATTGATCATCTCCTTCTGTTTCAGTTTCAGAGCAACAATCCTGCTCCACATTTTGTGCTTCAAGCTCTTTTGTTGTTGACTGCTTCAATTTGTCAATTAGCAATTGCAGCCTCCTAAACGGGATCATAATTAGTTCCCCAATAAAGGTACATAAGTGCTTAATTTCATATTTGAAAACAAATTACATGACTGACTTCCGTAGTTTCTAAAGTTTAAAAGAGATAAAAAAAAATAAAAAAATAAAAAATAATAAAACTCAAAGGATCCAAATAATATTTCTATCTCAACTTCCCTAGTTTCAACATAACAATGGATTACTCCATTGGCCTAAGCATTTTGGTTTTTCTAGCTTTTTTCATCTTTTGTGAATTTTTTTAAATTGTAGTAAAAAAAAAAATTTACTTTTTTGGTGCCTCTAGACTAGAAGACCCTTAAAAAAAATTAAAAAGGAAATAGTGTTGAAAAAAAAAAAAACAATTTCAGTCTTTTTTAAACAAAAATTGACTTTTTCTGTCTTTAGTGGACTTTGTATAATTAAAAAAAAAATCAATTTTTTAAAATTTTTAGGGTTTTCTAGTCCAAAAGAACCTTAAAAAAATTAAAAATAATTTTTAATTTGATGGGACTGCGTGGAGGAGAAGGATTCATATAGCCGACCCCATTTGATGGGACTCAAGGCTTGGTTTGGTTTGGTTTGGAATGAAAATATTGTGAAAAATAAGTACGCTAAAGAAAAAAATAAATAAAAACCTCAATTTCATAGGCTTTTTGTCAACAAAAATTGACTTTTCCATCTTCAGTGAACTTTGTAGAAAGAAATTCAGTTTTTCTTAAGTTTTAGGGTTTTCTAGTCCAGAAAAACCATTTTAAAAAATCAAGAGTTCATTAAAGGCAAAACCAGAAAAAAGGCAGCATAAAAATGCTCAGCCAAAGGATTAGCCCAAAATTTAATAAGCTCCCTAAATGTTTAAAATAGAAGCAAAAACTACATTTACCTGGCCTCTTCAACATTGTCAAATCTTATCATGTGGCTATAGTGCATATTCTCCAGTGCAGATAACTGAACAGAAGGAAGGTCCGCTTTTAGAGCAATCCTGCAATATGTATAACACCATGAGCACAGATAAAACTGACCCTTTAAAATTTATTCATTAACAGGGGTGCACTGGTATGCAGCTAAAATGAAGAAAATCATTCTAATTGGCACTGGAATTATTTCTATGGCTTATATGGATTATATAACTTCAAAAGGTCAGGTAATCACCTTTATTTGTTCACTTATTTATTTATTTTTATAAACAACCAACATGGCAACAGCTTTACTTCAGGATTACTTATTGAATACGGGAATGATTTGATGTGCCTAAAGACATATCTCAAGGTCGTACTTCTCTTGCAATTGAGATGGACTTCAATGTCTTTCTTTAGTAAAAATAAAATAAAACAAAATAAAAACTCTATTAATGCTCAGGAATCATAAGGTCCATTAACAAATGAATTCTAGTAGCCAGCACATGGCATGTTTCTCCATCCAAAAATATGAAAAATATTTTAAATTCCACAAAACAAATGCAATAAATAGAATACAGGATCCAAGAATGAAGACTCTTACCCATAACCCTCTTCAAATGCACTTAAAGCACCTGCACAATTACCATCAGAATCCAAAACATCTCCAATATTAATCTTCGCTAATGCTTGCCCCTGAATCAATACCAAACTACCAGTTCAGAATAATAATATACGAAGTATAGAAAGAAAATAATAACATAAAGTTGCAAATTCATGTACAGAGCACCAATATTTGTGCAATGTTATCTAGTGATTCGACAGTTCCAAGTGTAAGTGCAATTAACTACCAAGGTCATGTAGAAACCCTTAATTTCACAAATATCACTTTTAAGTACTTACATACATTTTTTTTTGTAATCTTTCCCATTAAAACACACACACACACATATTTATATAAGAAAATAAATAAAGGAAATTTAGCACACGGCATTTTATACAACTTACCTCCAAGTTGCCAATTGATTTGTAGATCTCCCAACTTTTTGTGTACCATTTTAGTGCTTTGCTGAAATTCCTAAGCCTCTGGTATGACTCTCCAATGACCAGAAATGAGTCACTCAGCTTTTCTTTGTCGCAGAGTTCACTTGCTACTCTCTTCTTCCTTTTGGCAAATTCACGATGCTAAACACAAATATTTCACAAAAATGCATAGCTTCAATCCATTTACAGAAAAGAGAATACTAAAATGAAAATATAATTTCAGATTTGTAGTTCATATAAATATCTAATATTTATTCAAATTTTAACACATATTACAACTAAGTAGAAAAACTAATTGCTAGACGTACTAATATATTTAATATATAAAAAATATATAAACTCCCATAGACGCTTCCAACCTTAGAAATCTATATGCCTCCGCTCCTGCTCCCGTTCCCCTTCCCGCCCCCGTCCCCATCCCCGTTTTGTGCAAACTAAGATCTAGATCTGCTAATAACAGTGTAAAGTTGGCTCCTTCTGCAATATCTACTTTATACATTGAAAAGAAACTTGTAGTTCTTACCATGCCAACTTCAGACCAAAGTGAAAGTTCACCATCTGAAAAGCTTCACTTTGAGAAGTCATCTTGTATGATGATTTCTGTCATTAATAAATTTTTCAGACTGGAAATGTAGACTACTAGAAATGTTAGAGAGTGTTTCACTAGATAAAAAACTATAAAGGAGTCCCAAGCGATGAGTGCATTGTTGTGAAATTGGGAATCGAATCGTAAATTGTTTTGTTAAAATAATGAATCGTGAATTGTAAGATTTATTTTATTTAATATTAGATATAATTTCCTATATGACATACATATAAAAAAATACACAGTGTTTAAATTAAGTAAATATGAATAAAACTAAATTGTATATATGTATATACGTGTAAAATCATATATATCAATATAACTAATTGATCTCTACTATACATCTTTATAGTTTGGTAAAAATGATTTCGTTTTCATGCATTATGTGACAAAAACAAAAACAGAGTTGAATCACAATGAATCATATTGAATCACAAATTGAATCATAAGATTCACTTAATTTCCAATTCAACAGCACAATTCTAATCATTGTTGTTGAAACTCATATCGAATCGTGAATCCTACAATTCTAACAACCATGGATGAGTGTGAGTTTTACCCGTACTGTCATCTTTTTTATGTTTTTATTAAGAAATTTATTGGATAGAATTATAGAACAACATTCCACATTTAAATCATAATCACACCTCATATCGAATCCCACCTCCACAACACCATCAAACTGCCACAATATTCCATATTCATAATCATAATCATAGACCCACTGCATGTCTATTCCTTAATACTAACCACACACCCCTGTCTCTTTCCTTTCTCCCCCTCACATCCAAGTAACCACCAATCACCATAATTGAAACCCTCAATTTCTTAAAATCTCCGTGGATAAATACACAATTTAATAACTCAATAATTGACCCAAATGCTGACAATCTAAAAGATAATAATGATAATAATAAATCCAAGACTCTAATTATGAGAACAAAGATTGTATTGAGCTCAATAAGTTGTTTATGTAAGTAATTTTTTCTCATATATATGTATACAAGTGCACAACATTTACATTGATATATGTTTTTAAGGAAGCAAATGGTGCCTGATGTGACGATGGTAGCGTGATCTGTGATGGCTTTTGGTGGTGAATTTTGATGGTGGGATTGGGCTGTTTATTTTTTGCGCATGATGTTGGGTTGTCTACGTATGGGTTTGTGTAGGAGATTATTGGATGGATTCATGGATCCTTGGAGATAAACTGTGGTTTTGAAAAAGATCTAAAAGGACTGTTAGAGAAAACAGACTAAGAGAAAATAAAAGAGACCCAACTGGTCTGTTGGAGAAGAAAGGGTAAAAATGTCTAAATACATAATATAAATGAGCATATGATGCTCGTTGTCCTTTTTCCATTAATTTTAGGACGGAGAGATAACATAAGGGTGTTTAGTGTTACAGGTCAATACTTTAAGTGGTGTACCCAACTGGTAAAATAGTTTAAGTGGTGCAAGTTAAAAACGGGTCATAGATGAGGGGGGTTTATTATAATTTACCTTTTTTTAGAAATGATGCAGGCCAATGCCTACAAGGCTGGTCTCAAAACCAAAAGGGTCTTGACCAACAGAAGGGAATAGTCCAAGGATGCCAATCATTGAGGACAACTGACGCCACTTGATATTGCTAATTGTGGCTGCTGCTCAACACGACCAAGCTACACACTTGATTGTAGAAGGAATCAATCACTCTAAGAAAAAGAAACGTTGTAACCAAATATATTCATATCAAAAAGTCTGCTTCTCAATTCATTCATTTGATATTTTATACAAATTACAATAGATTTATCTCGGTTAGCCCATCATACTTGGTGCCCGAGTCTTTCCAAGACATTGCATACTACATTTTACTATACAGTCAAAGTACATTATCATTTGTACATCATCAGAACACAACTTATAAAGAAGACTTCAACTACCAACTCATAGCAATAAAAGACTCCTAATAAACTTTGACCAAGTAAATAAGACACTTAGATAATATCAACACATCTAAACCAAGGTTTTGTTCGGAGAGAGAGAGAGAATGTAAAATACACATAGACATGTAATATGCACTCGTATGCTACCATAAGCTGAGAATGGAGTAAATTAAAGCAGGAAGTGAAACACGTATAAAAATATTAGCATTTGGCAACATTTACTGTTTTTTGTTTTTTGTTTACAAAAAACATTAAACATGTTTATGTTTATTTTTTGGTTAAAACAAAAACAAAAACATATTTGATATTGATACACATGATTTTTAAAATTTTGTTTTATAAACAAGAGAAAGAGGTGGCCAGCAGGTGGTTATCAACAGTTGTCCAAATGTGGTTATTGGTCATGCAGATGTTGTGATCGGAGGTTGTTTTCAACTATCGAAGGTGGTTGGTGGTGGTTGGCAGTGGCCGAAGATGTTGTTGGTCACCGGAGCTGATGGCTAAAGGTTGTTGCCGACGGTTGGAGATGGTGGTAAGGCGCCAAAGGTGGATCATGGCAAGAGGTGGTGGCCCAAGGTGGTGGTTGTCGGTGGGAGGTGGTGGCTGGAGGTGGTCTTTGGAAGAGGTCACCAGGTGATGGTGGTCGGAGGTGGGGGTGGGGCAGTTGTCATTTGAAAGGAAAGGTCCTTTGTATAGGGTTCCAAGCCTGCACACCCTAATGAGAAAGCCCTTTCTATCTTGTTAGTACAGCAACCCGTACCTTTCAATGAAAAAATGGGATTTGAGAGGACCACTAGCTAGCAGATCAGTGGGGTGATGAGCAGCGGTGGTGGCCGGAAGAGGTGGGAGGAGGAAAACAAAAAAAATCTAAACAAGTGAAACCAACTTTTTATGGTTACAAAAATTTTGGTAAATTGTGTAAACTATTTACTTGTTTTTAAAAATGAAAATAGATACCAAATGAGCTTTTGTTTACATTTTTCAGAATTTTTTTGTAAATATAAACAGCAAACTGTAAACATAAACGTTACCAAACAAACAAAAATATAAATTCTCATAGAAATTATTTCTGCATTGAGAAGTAATTCAACAGTTACGAAGAATTATAACCAAAATAAAAAATGAGGACAGGATAAAAACGTACTTTCAGCCATGCAAAGATAATACTTGATTTCTCTATTAGACAATCAAGAGATGCATTCTGCTGCAGCAGACACTTCCGTTCATTAGCTGTGCCTCTAACCATGGGAATGTTTCTTATCAGCTTCTTCAGATTCTGTTCTTCTTTCTTTAACTCATCCATTACCTTCATTGCTTCTCTTACAGTTTCGATATTCTGACCAATCTGATCAGCCAAAGCATCCTCATCTTCCATGGACTTTGCCAGTTTGAGTGCCTTTTCATAGCAAAGAATTGCATCCTCACATTTCTGAACCCTGTAATGTAATTCCCCAAGATTGATGTACCCTTTTGCCTCTCCTTGGCAATGCCCAATTCTCTTACAAATGATGATGTCCTTTTCAATATGTTCTCGAGCTTTATCCCACTTCCTGAGCTCCATGTAAACTTTTCCAAGGTTATGATGGAGCCTACTGCGCCCATCATCATCTTCAATTACCTCCTCTTCATCACAAATTTGTAATCCTTTGATAAGAATCATCTGGGCTTGTTCCAAGTTATCAAGATCCATTTCAAGCATTCCAATGTTATTATGAGCATCAATGTACTCCTTGAGAAAAGAAGGTTTACCAATTGGTGGATTATCCTTAAGACTTTGGGCGAGGTTCATGGCAGATTTGAAATATTTTTTGGCATTCCGAACCGAATAGTGATCATCTTCAGATCTTAAAAACATTTCATGGTAAGTTCGACCAAGTTGGGTGCAGGCTCTTTGTTGCTCAATGAGGTCATTGCTGTCCTTGGCAAGCTCTAAATGCTTTTTCTGGGATCGAGGATTAAAATATATAAGTTGAAGAGAAAAATGCAAAAACTTGAAAATTGAACAAGGCAATGTAAATACAAAGTATTAAAGTTTATGGTATTTTGGAGCTGTTAAAAACACCATTTTCCTTTTCTTTTTTTTAACCTTGAAATTTAGGGCTTGAAAACAAATTAAAATTATGGGCAGTAAAACCAAAAAAAAGGAAAGAATAGTTTGGAGTTAAAAATGAAAATAGCTGGGAAGTCTGCGACCTCATTGATCCAACATTATTACAATTGACTGCTAACAAATAAAAAGTATAGTAATTGGAAGTTGAAAGAATGTCCCAATGACCACGCATATTGAATTGGGTATTTGAAATGAAATTTCTTTATGAGTGAATTACAAAATGAAACGCCGTAATGGTACCTGCAAAATTACAACTAGCACTCTGTTTGGTTACTATTAAAGCACTCGAAAGAAGAAGAAGAAATGCACTTGTGTCGGAATTGACTTCAATTATTCCGATTTCTCAAAGAAAAGAACAAAAAAAATAACAAAAATGGAAATCCAACCCTTTGGTAGTGTTTGATTAACTGAAATAAAACAGAATGTAATATCATTTCATCAAAATATTCATTAAAGACAAAATGTATTACAAATGGAATCATCATTCACAATTTCATTCCATATGAGAACCTAAAAGTAATGATGATTCTATTCCATTCCAGTCAAACTAATTCCAGCGAGGAGAAAAGAAGCAATACAATTATAATAATTTGTGAAACAGAGGAGGGAAAATAGAAAATTACCTGATAAATTAGGGCATCTTTGAAGTATTCAAGACGGAGATGGAGTTCACCGAGGGACTGACAAGTAGGAAGGAGTTGTTTCTCGGGAAGATACTTGACAGAGACCTCGTAGTCTTTGCGGAGCCATTTCAAGGCCTTGACGTACTCTCCTCTCTTCTTCAATATGTCTCCGATCATATTCGCCCACCGAGCCTCTTCCTGCCTGTTCCCCTCCTCCACCGCGTTCCTGTACGCTCGCTTCGCACCACTCAGCTCACCATCGTCTCCTCTCGCCATTGCTGATCTACGCTGCTGATTATGATGCTTTACTTGCTCCTCTTTTAGGGTTTTATTTTAAGGCTTTCATTTGCTTTGATTTTTTTTGGCGGTTTTGTGTTTGTGTTTGCGAACCCAAATAAATTCCCGCCAAGTACCTTTTCTTTTTCTTTTTCTTTTTCTTTTTCTTTTTCTTTTTCTTCCTTTTTTTTTTTTTTTTTTTTTTTACTACATGTACCAACTAGTGTGCCAATTAGTGTTAACCTACTCATTATACAAATTATAAATATTCAAAATTTCTAAAATTATGTCACATCATCTATTAATATACTAATTAATATATCAATTGGTACCTATAGTATTATTCTCTTTTTTTTGAGAAAATTGGTGAAGAATTCACTTTAACAATTATTCAGTGTGTTTGGTTTCAATTTTTTGAAAATTGAGTTTTTTATTTTTCGTATTTTTTTGTTTTTAATAAATATTTTTAAAATTTTAAACAATTTTTTTACTTTTTTAGATGTATCCCACTTAGATATATCTAAATAATAAAATATTTTTAAAAATTAATAAATACACAAAAATACGAAAAATGTATTGAATTTTCTTTTTCTTTTTTTTGTATTGTTTGGTGTTTAGTATATTTTTTATAAAAAATTTACAAATATTATACTTTTTAAATATATTTATATTAGGTGTGTGTCTAAAAATTTTAAAAAAAAAATGCTTAAAATATTTTTAAAAATTCATTGAAAACATTAAAATACAAAAAATACAAAAAAAAAATAGAATTTTCTTAAAACTATTTTCTAAAAACCAAAACCAAACAAAGTCATTCTTTTTTTTTTCGAGAAAATTGGTGAAAAATTCAATTTAAGAATTGTCTATGGTATTAAATCCAGGATATTTTCTTATTAGTAAGAGGTACACCTTTAGCAAAATAATTTGGTAAGAAGTTATGAAAAACATTTTTTTTTTCAATTTTATCCTCAGATTTTTTTTTATTTGTTTGACTTTTTATTGACTATCTGTTCAAATTTATATCTATATGTTGAAATTTTTTCCCTATCTATTCAAAAAATTTCCTATTTGTTGTAGTTTTTTCCTTACTTGTTCAATTTTTTTGTCTATCTGTTTAGTTTTTTTCACTATAAAGTTCAAATTATTTTTATCTGTTGAAAATTGTCATTATTCGTTGAATCTAACTGTTGAAGTTCTTATATGTCAAAATTTTTATCTTATTAATTTTTGTCCAAACAAAAGCTATCTGTTGAAATTTATCTCTTCAAAAATTATGTCTACTCAAATTATTTGTTGAAATTTCATCATTTTTTTATTATCTGTTCAATTTTTAAACAAATTTGTTCAACAAACAACAAATTTTCCTTTTATATGTTTAAATGCAACATCTACCTATAAACAACCACAACCACAACCACAACATACACATACACATTTCTTTACTGGAATAGAGAACCAAAACAAAAACAAAAACAAAAAAAAACATAAACATTTGTTTCTTTCTTTCTTTCTCCTATCTATAAAAATTAAAAAAAAAATATTATTTCTTTCATCAACAATAAGAATAACAACACACATATCTAGAGAAGACATCTTTAAATGGTACCGATTCGGGAAAGAGCTGGGGAGAGGAGAGTTCAAAATCACGTACCAATTAGGGATGGTAATGGATAATCTATTATGTGGGTATTCATGGAGACCCAACCTAAATACATGAGTTTTTTCCTTTTTTTCTTATCCATTAGGTAGGGTAAGTGATATTCTTTAAATATCCACAGGGGATGGATTGGAGATGGGTACCCACTAATTTCCCCATATGTGTTTTTTTTTTTTTTTTTTGTAAGATTCACACCTAAAACTAAATATACATTCAATCTTTTTTCTTTTTTTTTTTTATTTATTTTTTCAGGTTCACAACCAACTCTTTTTTTTTTTTTTTTTTTAAAGATCCACAACCAAAGCTAAATATACATCCAATCTTTTTTTTCTTTTTTTTTTTCTTTTTTTTTTTTAAGGTTCACAACCTTTTTTTAAAAAAAATTTTAAGATTCACAACCAAAGCTAAATGTATATTCATATTTTTTCTTTTGTTTCTTTTTAATTTTTTTTTTTAAATTCACAAACCAAAGCTAAATATACATTCAATCTTATTTTATTTTATTTGGCTCAACAATAAAATCAAAAACACATTAATTAACATTGTCACATTATTCTTGTCAAATTTTATACATATCTATAAATTTTTAAATTTATTTAAAAAAATTAAGGACACTGTTTAGTGAAGGTTTCGATTTGTTTTCTATGTTATTTTATTTTGTTATGTATTGTAATTTTCAGAATGGTTGCTTGTTCTGAAATTTCAATTACCGAGTATGAATCTATTTTTTTGTGTTATCACACAATTTATACAAACATATATATATATATGAATGTATTTGAAAAAAGAAAATTGTAGAGAATCAAACAAACATGAGTCGTGATTGGTTAGAAAGCATGGGTACAAAGATTTATTTGCTGAAAAACAAAAAGGGAATACAAAGTCTTACTAAATAATTTTTTTAAAAATAAAAGAATTTTCTTAGTTTGAACAGATTTAACTGAAATCAGCTTGTTTCCCAATGTTATCTTCATTTATTTAGATAGAAAATATTTTTTAATGAAAAATATTTTTTATAAAAAAAATTAAAATATATATTTTTTTATATTTGGTGGTGGTGGTAATGGAACGAAGGTGAAAGTAGAGATTGTGACATAGTGGTGGGGTGATGGCGGCAGTGATGATGGTAGTGGCTATGGTGATGGTAGTGTGATAGTGAAAGTGAGAATAGTGGTGATGGTGTTGTGAAATTAGTAAAAATTTAATTGAAAAAATATTTTTTTGTTTTTTAAAAGTAACAAGCAACAAAATTCGTGGGGGACTAAAGGAAGAAGATGGAGGATGGATTGGGTGTGATAAGGCATAAATATCTTAAAATGAGTGGTTCAGATTTGTTAAAAGGTATAATTAGATTTTGGATAAATTACAATGAATGGTTCAAATTTGCTAAGAGAAATATGGTTTAATGTCTAAAATGTCCGCGGCTAAGAAATCAACAAACAATTCCTTATTTATGTCCTGATGTAATTTAATATGGGTCTTATAACACTTTCTTCAAACAGGTTCTTTCACATTTTATTTCTTCAAACAGGCTCTTATAACATTGTAAACAAGTTCTTATAACATGTAGGGGAGAGAGTGAGAGTGAGAGAGAGAGAAATGGTTGTAATTTTTTTTTTAATCTTCCACGTTCTTCCACATTTTTTTTTTCAATTACTAAACCTTATTTGTTTGTCTCAAAATTATATATTTGATTATTATAAAACAAACTTTTTAATTAATTAATAAATGTGTATTTGATTTTGTTGTTGAACCAAATAAAATAAAATAAGATTGAATGTATATTTAGCTTTTGTTGTGAATCTTAAAAAAAATAAAAAAAGTGGTTGTTAACATTAAATATAAAAAATAAAAATGGGGATTAAAGTGGGTTGGGGAAAATCCATACCCATTAAAAAATGGGGAGGGGGGTACCCATGGGGAATGGGGAATGGGGAAAATTTATTATAGGAAAAAATTGAAGGTATATTTAGCTTTTGCTGTGAACCTTGAAAAAAATAAGTTGTTAACATTAAATATATTAAAAAAGAAAGAAAAAATATTAAAAGTATATTTAGCTTTTGTTGTGAACCTTAAAAAAAAATGTTAACATTAAATATAAAAAAATAAAAATAAAATAAAAATGGGGATTAAAGTGGGTTAGGGAAAATCCAAACCCATTAAGAAATGGGAAGGGTGGTACCCATAAGGAATGGAGAATGGGGAAAATTTATTATTAGGGAATGGGGATGGGAAATTAACATCCACCCTATTAACCCCCATTGCCATCCCTAGTACCAATGTAGTGAGAGTCTGATCTAGTTCTATCTATTCCATTTTTTAAAAAATAGTTACCAAAATCACTAATTTGTACCATAATTAGACCTAAATCAGTAGATCCACACAGTTACGCCCATAGAACAACATAAGCATATACGTACATATCTATACCTATAGGCCCCGTTTGTTTGGGGTTATAGAGAAAGGAATTGGGTTTGGTAGTGAGGAGGGGATTGAGAATGGAGTGTTTGTTTTGAGAGATAGGGAAGAGATTAGTAATCCCTTGGTATTAGTAAAGAGGAGGAAGGAGGATTGATAAGGAGGAGGTAGAGATGGTATTAGAAAAATAGTGAGGGGATTAGAAATTTATTTTTTTTTTTTAAATATAATGTTTAATTTTTTATATTTTTTTATTTGTTTTATTATTTTATATAAAAATAATTTAACAATTTTTCACTATTAATCCCCTCACTAACAATCCCCTCACTATTAATCCCCTCACTATGAATCTCCTTCATTCTATCTCTGAAAACAAACAAGGCCATATATAAACGATCCATAGGTTATTTACTCCATGTTCCTCTGTTGCAGATCTATACCTATAAGCACTTGATATCTGCTCATCAACATCACTACGGCAACGGCAATAGCGACGACCAATGTCCGGCGTAACAGTTATGGCTCCTACAGCAGGGTCGACCCTGTTGATTTCTATACAACCAAATCTGAATGAGACGAAACTAAAAAACGAGATCTGTCGAAAAACTAGATCTAAGTAAGGTTGAACCGTCGATGAACTTGGTTTTACAAACGTCGTACAAGACACGGGTGAGATGGTCGCAACGGTGACGAGGATGAGAGATAAGTGACTGCAGATGTGGAGAGAGAGAAAGTGTGTGCGTGTATGAGAAGAATCAAGAATATTTAACTATGTTGATGATGTCGTTTGCACACCAAAAAAAAAATGAATAAAACCAGTAGCAACTACTATTACGAAGTATAGCAATTGAGAGCTAGTGTCAAACCACAAAGACTAGAGCAAACTATTTTTAGTTCAAATATTTCAATTTTGAAAATGGAAAATGAGAAAAATAAACCTTAAGGTCTAGAATTCACTACTGACCTTGTAATTAGGGGTTATTGTATTTAGATTGTAGGAAATCATTGAAAGGGGTATTATTGGTC